CCGAAAATTCATGAAATTTTGCCATATTTTTATTTGTTGATATATTGACGCGGTATCGATCTATTTTACTAACAAAATCTCACAAGAATTTGCAAAATATCATGAGAGTTTGTAACAGAACGATGAAATTTCACGAGATTCTTATAGTAAAATAGATCGATACCGCGTTTTTTAAAAATCAATTTGATATCAGCATATGAAAATATATTTAAGTATATTATTTTTCAAAGTGTCAGAAATGGATAACAAAACTGCTATTTTCAATGACTACTTATTTTTGTCCAGCTTTAACATCAGTATCGATATCGGTTATCGGCTACATTAGTTTTAAAATATCGGCATATCGGATATCGGCCAAAATCCCATTATCGTGCATCCCTAAAATGAATGCATTAATGTGAATTAGAAGAAATAAAAACAAACGTTTTCTAAAAGATTTTTCTAAATAAACACTCACGCTTTGGATTAATCTTAAACTAGCTGCGGAGAACTTCCTTTATTTCTTTTTTTTATTTTATATATTTATAAATATGTATATATATATATATATATATATATATATATATATATATATATATATATATATATACGTACATATGTATATATACGTACATATGTATGTATATATGTGTATATATGTATATATACGTACATATGTATGTATATATGTGTATATATGTATACATACGTACATATGTATGTATATATGTGTATATATATATATATATATATATATATATACATACGTACATATGTATGTATGTATATATGTATATATATATATATATATATAAATATATATAAATATATATAAATATATATATATGATTTATAAGATTAATCGCTTTATGAAATAATTGTTAGTTAATTTAGTAATTGCTTGTTAACTGGAGTATAGAGACTCTTAAACATGCCATTAACTTTAAGAGCAAACCACATAGAGTTCAAATTAATGTAAATATTTTGCATTTAAGACATAACAAATGTTTTCGACCTATTCTGACAATGTTGTTAGCAACGGCAGTTATTTCAGTTGTTGGGAAGTGTAAGACTTCTGATTAAGGAGGGAATAAATTAAACAATACTGCGTAAGTCCTGGATGAGTTGATTCATGGATTTGTTGGAGTGATTCAGATTATACTGGCAGCTCTAATAAACTGTCTTGTGAGTCTTTAATCTTTGGGATTATCTATTATTAGGGTTGTATTAGCTGCAATTCCACTGAATTGAAGCTTTGCTTTTGCATGCAGCTGTTTATTATAAAATTTTAGTGAAAAGCCTAAAGCACAGTTAAAAATACTCTGGCTTTAAATAGAAATGTATTTCACTTCATTCAGATGATATAATCTGTTAAATGATGAATCTCTTATAATAATGTATTAACATCATAACTAATAAGATAATCCTTTGTACATTTTTATTTAGAACTTACCTGTTTTACTATGTAGCACTTTGGGATTTGTTTAAATATAAGATGCATTACAAGTCCAAATTATTATTATTGCAGGTCAACACAGAGACACACAGAACAGAAATCAACCATTCACGCGCACTCTCACACCTAAGGAGAATTTAGAGAAGCCAATGAACCTAACAGTCATGTTTTTGGACTGTGGGACGAAGCCAGAGTACCCGGAAAGAACACGCGCATGCTCAGGGAGAATATGCAAACACCATGCAGATAATCCCCGGGCTGGGAATCAAATCCAGAACCTTCTTACTGCAAGGCAGCAGTGCTATCCACTGTGTAGCAACCGTCTTACTATAAACATAGAGCACAAATGGCATTCTTTTCTTGTTTAAAAAAAAAAAAAAAAAAAGAGGGTATTCCAGCTAAAACGGTGCAGCCATGTTTGTTTTGCTTCAGCTTTCCGCTTCTGGTTGACGTCATACATGTCACTGCATTTCATTGGTCTGTTTTTTTTTTGGGTCTGGCAAGATGCATTTTTGAGAGTTTGTAAATTCACAAATCTTGCAACAATTCATCTTGCTTGCGATGTAACTAAAAATGTCTTTAAATTCATGTTTTATTGTTTTTAGGAAGAAAAAAAATAGATCTCATTGGCATCCCTATTCTTACTTCCTTTTTTTCTTGTGGTGGTTTACATGAGTTTTTGGTGTCCATGTGGTAGTCACTTTAGCAACATCAGCAGTTTGCCATGGTTCATTCATTTGTCATTGGTTTCTGGTGTTTTATACAAGAAGCAAAAAGTTACACAAGCAGCAACACTTACCGACTGCCTGCAGCGTAGTCCCTGATTATTCAAATCATCCCTTTTAGTGTTATAGAGACAGGATGGGATAAAAGTAAGGCAGGCTAATGTTAGCTCCCTTCCATGAATGACACAAATCAAGAAATCTTGACCAAAATTGAGCTCTGCAGAGGGCATGTCTTTTTGGGCGTTTTCTGGTTTGAACATATTCTCCACATTTTCCAGCAGGTTTTAACTGAAGGACAACACCAACACGCATGTTTAACAGGAAAAAAATCAGATTTCTGTATGCAATACCTTTAAGCATGGGGACCCTCATACAATTAGACACATAGTATATGTCATGTTGGCTTTCAGGGATCTAACCCACATGTAGAACACTCAGAGACTGGGAAAAAGTTCACAAGTTTATTGAAGATTAATGACAATAAAGAACAATGATTTCTGGGGATAACTGGGTCTGGGCCTGGTCACGACTGGTTTTCACTGCAGAGAGGGACAGATTGGTTAGCAGTCTTTCAGTGGACTTGCAGGTTGGGTGTTTGCAGGTCTATACCTGATCAGAGATGAGCAGAGCGGTAGAAGGGGGGAACCAGGAGGGTCCAGAGGCTGAAGGCAGGCAGAGGGCTAGGCAGAGGCAGGGAAGAGCAGATAATCTTACTGAGCAGGATCAGAGCTTCTCCCTCAGCTCTTGCTGAGAGCGGGCAGGCAGGTTTCAGACTGAGTAGGATTTCCAGGGTTCTTCTGAGAACAGCAGCTTGGTTTCTCGCTTGAGAAACCCTTTCAGGTCTTCAGGTTTCCAGGCAGGTTCTTCCTGAGAAGCAGAGAGGACAAAAAGCAGATTAGGTTCAGGTTCAGGCTTCAAGGGAGTCAGAGATTCAGACAGGCAGGTTGGCTCAGGCTTGCTAACCGTAACTGGCAAACACTCTGGCGTCGGATTGTAGCTCTGCCCCTCCTAAAATGCTGGTCTCCTGATGAGCTCATGAGCCGCAGGTGTGGTGGTCAGCTTCAGCTCCAGGAGACCTAGAACGCCCTCTGCTGGAGAAAGGTGGACAGACCTCCAGATCCCAACAATATAGATTGGTTTTGACCAATATGTGTGGGCCGATTCATTTAGAGGCTATGTATTGAGATCATGTGGAGTCTATCGGTAGCCACTCCCCTCTATATAAATAAATTGTATGAATTGTTTATTTTTTGCGACAAAGGACCACAGGCTGGATCCGAACCTGAGTTGTGCGTGTTGAGGACCAAGGCCTCTGTACATGGGTCGTGTGTGTCAACCAGTGCGCCACCAAAGCATGCCCGATGTTCTTTTTTGATTGTTAATCATTTTTTTTTCAATTGAGACCTTTTTTTTATCATTGTCTCATGTTTATCATGTAAATACAAAAAAAAAAATTATATCGGCTCCAAGAATCAGCCTATAAATGTTGGCCGCTCATATCTGGGATCAATTTCACTGTTAGCAAAGTAATCTGCTTAAAAATCCTGCCTCACTTTCTCTCAATAGCTGGATGTGTTCGTCTTTAGTAAAAATTTATTTTTAAGGCCTAGATTAGATTAAATTCAAGTAATCTGATAAATAACATCCCAAATAAGAAAAATGAATCCCTTGAATGTATCTCACAAGTTGGATCTTTAATATTGCAGCATGTCGCTGAAAGACATGTTGACTGTGATTATTGATGGGAACCTTACACTCTCTGGCCTTTGTCCATCTCTGTCAGAAGCAGGCCTGCATAATGCATGTGGATTCTTCTACTGTGTTATGATTCTTTGTACGATTCTAGGTTTTGGTTAATGGTTGTTTAAATAGATCTGGAAGTCGCATCAGCCATCTCATCTCCTTTGCTCTCAAAGCACACAGACACACACACCCCTACACATCAGTGTGTATAGGGAATCATTAGCTAAAGTGATGCAAGTTTAGCTATCATGAATCAAAGTGGCATCATATCGACAAGCTAGAGCCAGCAAAGAATCCTAAGTGTGTGTGTGAGTGTATGTGAGAGAGAGAGGATTACCAGTATTTTGAGCTGGCGGCAGGCCCACTTTCTCTTCCATTTTTCTCGACTCTTCTTGCTGCCACCAGGGTTTTCCCTGGTGATATTCCCTGCAAAAAATTTAATTTGCTTTCCCCCTGTTGCCCTCTCTACCATCCATTTTCCCTTCTCTCACATACTGTCAGTGTCTTAGTTGTTTTACGTGGCGCATGGTGACAGTCCCATTACCTTATCCCTCTTTGTTAGCTTTATTTACCAAACTTAGTGAGACTCATGGATGTGGTTCCAGCTTTGATGGTAACAATTAACAAGGGGTTTTCTCTCCTTAAAAATAATATGTTTCTTTTTTTCACTGGTTATAAAGTGTGTCTTTATATTATAAAAGTGGAGTCCCACAACATGTCAGGTATGTCTCCTGTGTATACCTTTAGCATGGTTCCATTGTTTTAAACCTCTTTATAAACTGTTCTTTTCCTTAGTCATTGGTCTTTTTGCTACTCAAGACTTTAGATGATTGATCCTGGAATCCATTACAGTTTCAACAACTGTACATTTTAGTACAAGAGACTTTTGATAGCGTTCAGCCATATCGAGTTCTTTTTGGTGTCCAGTAAGTATCAACATAGGCTTTTGACTCGATCAGAGTAGTAGCCTGCAAAGATGTAGGATGGTACGATAGCACCAGAGTGAATAAGATTGTGTTCTTCTCTCACCATCCAATGCATTTATTTTGATTTGTAGAAGTAGAACCATATAAAAACTTTTTTTTTCTGGTTTCCAGCAGCTCCTTCAACTCCTGTTGAGCTCGGCCCAATTCTCGGTTTGGAGAAGTCTAGTTCCTTGGAGAGCCTCCAGACGGCCATGTCAGAGGTTAACAAGAAAAACGAACTCCTCCCTTTCCACCGTCCTCGCCCAAATATGGTCAGAGGAAGAGGATGCAACGAGAGCTTCAGGGCAGCTATTGATAAATCCTATGATGGCCCTGCAGAAGATGATGATGGTAAGAATCATTTATTTTTTTAGTCACATATGGTTTTAAAATCTAGAGTCAACATTTCCAGACTGCACTTCTTACTACAGTTTGGGGATAACATAACATAAATAATAAACTACCTGGATTACAATAGTATTGCCCGGTAGTATTAGCGTGGCCATGTGGGGGAATTTGTGCATTCACAAACATAGAAGAACACACCTTGTACCTCTCCAGTTCAGACCATTGGAGAATGACCCAAAAAGGGGACGGCCAATCACGTTGCACTTTTATGTTTAGGCAGGACAGATTGCAAAGACGAAAGTAGGAGCTGTTGAATCTACAGCTGACTCAAAATAAATATGGCAGCACAGAAGGATGTACGTGCAGCTGCTGCTTTCACATCTTTGGTCAGATTCCACAATCTTAGCTTTAAAAGAGGAACAGGAAGATGTTAAAAACACAGGCTGTGGTTTCTCGTGATATATGATGCTATTTAATATGTTACCATGACTAAAAGTATAAGCATACAATAACTTTTTGCAGGAGCTTGTAACAGGACATAAAAGTATTTGATCTGATGGTAAAAATGCATTACTTAACATAATAATGCATAATTATAATACATATAACAATAAAATCAAATAGCAGGTTGTGATAAGATGTTTGATATACAGTCATTAATAATGTGATGCACAGTAAAATAATGTCATAAGATGTTTATAATGGAGTATTTGTAATGGTGCAGGCATGCACCTACCTGAAAATGAAAGATTTTATTGAGATATTAACCGATAATAAATGTTATTGATTGGATATTAATATTATAGTGAAATTATCTAGCACTAACAGCTTGTAATACATTAGTAACTTGTAAAAAATATCAGTAACAGGATTAATCTATCACTGTAATATATGAATACCAGTGCTATTACATTGTCATTAAAAACACTGTAGTTTGTTTTATGTTAAATGAAAGTAATTTATTAGAGAGTTTAAATGTAATATTTTGGTTATAAATAATTATTTAATTATTATTAAATCTAGAACTTTTGCTTCAGAGACTCAACTAGAGCTTTGGTTTAACAATAAATATTTAATTCTTTACTAATAATCAAATGATATTGCTGTTTTTTCTTCTTCAAATTTTTTGCCATTTAGGCAGAATAATGTCTGCACAAGATTAACATTTTCATTTCTTTGATTCGTTTACTACCTTTTGCTTGATTTGGTCTGATGTTTCTTTTTTTTATCTTTTATTCATTTTTTTCTTTGTTGCCTTGGAGATATTTTAAGATTTCAACTTATCTGCTATAACTGTAAATTTAACCAGTGTAAGTAAGCTCACAAATGTGTACTGTTATTTCACAAAGTAAACAAATCCCTTTTAAATCATACAGAATATAGTAAACCCCTTTTACAAAAGTTTGTATATGTTTATTTTTTTAACCTCTGAAGCGCTAATTATTCCTCTGCCGTCCCAGTTGCTGTTTTTCCTCTTCACAGAAGCAAGAACGGCTTCTTCCTCGTTCTCTAAGCTGTGATATCTAAGTGCTTCATACCATTTACAAAGTAACAGAGATTTCTATCTTTAAATTTCGCCTCTAATCGCTCACATTTATCTTTGCCGCCTGTAGGTGAATTTTTCCACTCAGTGATTGATGCGTTCTACACTTACCTCCACGCGCAAGGCGTCCCTGGATCACATTTTCTCCAACAAAGTGTGACAAGTCTTGCAGCAGGCACCTCTTGCCTCAAAACATCAACACATATTCAATTCCCAGCTGCATTATTAGCAGCTAACTCTTATCATTCACCACCACAGTAATGAGTCGGCCTGTTTCAGATCACTACGTTCACACAGGATAAGAGTAATAGGGCATGTCAACACCACACATGAGGTGGCCACATCTGTCACCGTCGTTCTAACTGTTCAGCACATCCAGAGCTGCTGATAACTTGACAGAGTGCACTTCTTTAAAGTACCTTCATTCTTACTATTTCCTTCTTTTTTCCTCATCATATATGTTTGATAGACACACACTTTGTCAGATTAACATGCAGAATACTGGTAGAGTTAATAATTACTCTATTGGTGTATCTTCTATTGAGTTTGATGTCAAATTATATTATGAAACAAAAGGATTTAACGTTGTTGCAAGTGACTGTTTTTTAATATGAAAACTTTGGAAAAATTTGGACCACATTTATTGAGATGATGTGATTCCTTTTTGTCTTACCAGGAGTATTTCATTAAAGTGGGCCTTCATTTTGGCTGATTTATGGCAAAGATGTATCTATCAGCAAGACCAGGGAGCAATGGAGGAAAAATCTTAAAAATGTTGACTCTCAATTTATCAGTATTATTATTTTTTTGCACTCCTTTTTGCACGACTTAGATAAACTTTGATAAATACGTTTTTACTTAAAAACAGTTTTCTTTAGCCTATTACCCCATAAACAGTGTAAGTCCACAGTTTCTCTTCTCCCAACAGCATTGCTATAGAAAGTCACGTACAACCACCAGATGAACAGCTTTGTGTTGAAACGATTAGAAGCAGCTAAAATACCAATATACAATCAGACAGTTGCTGAAATGTTTTGTCATTTATTTTGATTAGACACTAAAAAAATGAACAGCACTGCACCGCAGCTGCAGTAATTATCTTGGATAAACTATGAAGAGGAAAATGTTGTACAGAACTGCCATGGATTTGTTTCATCACTTGATCCATTGAATTTCTCTATCCGGCTGATCAGAAGCTCAAATTAACCCTTGCTGTGCTTTTATAGCATGTCTGCACCTCTTTGCATGACTTTAAAATGGTATATTGTGTAATGCATTGGTAAAGCATGAATTAGCATCTGCCCTCTCATCAAGCAGCAATACAAAACATCAAATCTATTAATAAGGTAATAGTAAACTGACCTATAACCTGTTCAAATCTAAACTAAAGCTAAGATTCAGTTCAGCTCTGATTCTAAGAACAGATGACTGGCCTCACATATAAGGCAAGCAAGGCAAGGCACATTTATTTGTATAGCACAAGTCAGTACAAAGACAATGTAAAGTGTTTTACATGATTAGAATATAGGAAAATATAACAGAATCAGAGCAAATAGAAGAACAAAAATGCAGAAACAAGAAAGATCATTAAAAGCAGTTGAACTAAAGAAAATAAAAAAAATTAATGGTGTTTCAGTTGAACTTTTTAACTAGAACAGTCGAAGGCAATCCTAAACAAATGTGTTTTTAATCTTGATTTAAAGGAACTTTATATAGTAAAAAAAACAAAACGATAATAACTCACACTTTGAGAAAAATAAAAACCCGTATTAGCAAAATTCAGACCACTAACAGCAGAATGATGCATCTTGAACTGAAATCAGAGCTAATTTACAAAAGCAAACGGTCTATGATTGACATATAAGTTGAATAGCACCATCACACTAAATATTGGCATTAAAACTTTATTTACACAGATAGTCTTATTGATACACAGGTTGTCCTTTACAAGTGAGACTTATTCTCACATGTGTAAAAACAATTAAATAAAGCACATTCCACAAAACAGTAGGGGCCACATGTCATGCAAGAACATTTTTAAAATTTAAAATTAATATAATACCATATGATGGCAAAGTTTGTGCGATTAATTCTTGATTGAGCCGCAGAAACGTGTAAAGTAAAGCTGTTTTCGATCAAACGGATTCCCGGCCTTTAAATTATTATAATATTAACACCCCTGTAACCCTCAACCTGGGTTTCACAGCGACCTCCAGCGTTTTCTACGTTTTTCACGCCTTTATAGAATCATCAGCTACATTTAAGCCCTTACAAAACTGATCAATGTTTATGGTGACAGTGAGCTGACATTCCTCTAGTCCACGGTGACTCTGCAGAAACAGTTCTCTGTTTAATCCGCCTATCTTTTGATTTAAACTCAAGCATCCTCACCTGTTTCTTGTGTAAACAAGTTGTTTGTCTATCAATGTGACATCTCTGACTCTGAACCATCACTAAATCTTGCCAGAGTTTTCAGGTTGGACAGGGTGAAGTGAGTGAGAGAGAGATGCAGCCTAAAGCAATCAGGAAAGCCAAGCTTCAAACAGATCAGATACATAAAGATTTTAAAGGAGGTTTTTAATCAGTATCAGTGTTTGGAATTTACTTTTTTAATATTCAAAAATCCTTCAAATTTTCTGTAGTTTGTTATGTGTAGTTCAGACACATTCAGCTTGGAAGACAAGATTTAAGATGAAATAAAGTTTTAAATTGTATTAAAAATAATAGAATCATGTTATTTCTATGTGTTGTGTTCTAAAGAATAACTGGGTATAATCTTGAAACCCTTTTATCTGTTGATAATAGCTTAGACCTTACACCAGAAGAAAGATGATTAGATCTAGCGCTGCCTAATTTTATAGCATCCTCTATGTTTTCAGATATACTTCTCTTAAAGATTTTGTTTCCTGGTCATTAAAACATAAAAGCTAACACATTTGGCTATTAGTCAAATATTCAAGTTTCTTGTCTTGCATGTAGTTTAATCAGGTTTTTCCACTGAATCTTTTCTTTTGTGTTTCAGCATCTATTTATTTTGTATCCATCGTAATTCCTCTCTGCTCCAGTCATTTTTTTTTATTTAAAGAAAAAAGAAATTGCATAAGAAAAATATCTGTTGTGTTTTAGGATGAAGGGGATCTCTTCAGATGTTAAAATCTTTCTGATTTCCAGCACCTTATTAGGAAGTAATGTGCCTGTGGCTATGTTGCAGGACAAATACGCCCAAAACGATCCACAGAGTCACATTCTGCTAATAGACAGTGTTTGTAATTAAAGCTGAAGTCAGTATCCACACAAAATTAGATCCCAATTAAAGTATCCAATTTGTTTTTGGTCATCTTTTTCATCTAATGAATAGTTTAGTGTGTTTTAGGGTTCCCTTGTTGCGAGGCATCATTGTTATGCGCGACCAGACCTTCAGTCTGCTGATGAATTAATGAGGCGTTGTAGTTTATTCTTTGAACCTCCACTGGTTCCTATTCCTTAGAGGTAATTAGTTCGCTGTGAGGTTGATGAATGTCCCGTCAACATGTGGAGTGGAGAAACTTGAGAACACATCAACTATTTCTTTTCTTTTTTTTTATCGTTTATACGTATGAATTCTGTGCATCATGTTGATTATAACCATGATTGTTTTATGTCACTGTTGGATATTGTGGAATATACTTTAAAAACTGCTAACTTTTTCTGCTGCTTTGACTGTTGTTAATAAATTCACTCACGCCTTTCTCCATCTATTTCCCCTTCCATCGAATTGAGCAGATGAAGGTTCGGAGTTGAGTTCAGGCCGTGACACTCCTGCCAGTAGTTCATCCCGCCAGGGACTCGCTGATCACAAAGAAGAGAAAGGTAAAAAAGAGAAGAATAAGAAAGAGAAAAACAAGAAGACAGAAAAGACCAAGAGTAAAGTGAAGGAGAAGAAGAAAGCAGAAGAGCCAGAGGAAACAGAAAAGAAGAGCAAGAAAACCGTCTTTGCTCTCCTGAGGTGAGTTTCTGCATTTTTTCTTTTATTTGTCAGTTTGTTGGCTTTTTTTTTTTTACAGCCTCTGCTGAATGAAGCAGCACCAAGCTGAACCAGCGTGACCCTGTCCTCATTCAAAGAACATTTTAAAGAGATGTGTGGCTCAGGTGGTAAAGTGGTCAATTACCTGTACCTGATGGATGAAGATTGATCATTTGCTTTTACTTTTAGTGTCCTTTTAGGCATGGTACTGACCCGAGAAGGCCAGGATTATCTTTCCCTTTTTTCTGCAGTAGATAACTTGGATAAAACTTTTCCTTTTTTTATTTTTTCCTTTGCTGGAGTTGAGGATATCCTCTGATTCTCTACTTCTGTTTTGTTTGATGTATTTCGTCAAGTTAGTTAAGTTGATGTCTGGTTTGGTTTCTTGGTTATTAAGTACGTTTAACTGTATGTTTATGGAGCGTTAGCTACTTTAACAATGCTTTTTAAGAAAAATAACAAAGCAAAACATTCATAGAATATTATATATATAAGAAAAAAAAAAAACAAGAAAACGGTTTGCAAGAAGAAGGTTTGCAAGATGCGCCAGCAGCACTTTATAGGTCTGCTGTATGGGACCGCTTTGCATTTAGAGTGACCTACGATGACGGCGGAAAGAAAGTTGTGGATAAAAGTGCAACAGTGTGCAAGCATTATGCAAAACGTTTTGTCTATGCTAACAGCAACATGACCAACATGTCAGGCTAACAATCAACATATACCGAACCGAAAACCGTGACAACGAAACCGTGAACCGAACCGTGGATTTTGTGAACCGTTCCACTCCTAATCTCGTGTGCATAAGCATTTGGCTCTTCAAAGAAATACTTCAGCGAAACTTCCTTGGTCCTGCCCGTCTTTGCATCTTTGTGGTGTCCATCTTCAGTGAATATCGATACACCAGTTAGCATGCTGCATTATAACAGCCACCTCGCCAAGCCGTTCGCTTGGAGGGTGGGGGCATTAACAGATGAAACAAGACTGCTTACCCACAGACAGACAATGACACGCCCCCTCTGCATACGAGGTAATCTCTGAAAACAAGCCTATTTCAAGCCTAAAATGTATGCTTTTAAATTTAAAAATACTGCGGTCTTAAAAGCGGAAAGGCTTCTTCATTAATTGAAATAGCAGGTACTGCAAAAAAGCAAAAATCACCAAATTTGGGCGGGGGGGCTTTTCTCATTTTGTTTAAAAGTTGTCCTGCTGATTTGTGTCCCTGGATTCTGTGACGGTTCATATTTTTGTGAGTAAACTGAAACTGCTGCCCTGATATGAACTTTATTCGTCACTTTAATCAATCTATAATATTCAACTTATTTTTCCCTATATGCGCATTGACCTCACATGACTCCTGCCCTGACATTCCCTCATTAAAATTCCAATACTCTTGGTAATGTTTAGCACAAAATAGTCTTCAGCAGGATAGTTTTATTTACGGGACTCTGTCAGAGTTGTCCTCAGTGTAGAAAGCTGACTCCAACCGACGGTAAATCTATTCTTTATGTGAAAATTGTATCTATAAAGTCTGTCACTGAAAACTATGTGCACAGTTTTCCCTGTGCAGCTCATGCCTCACACTAGACAGGACATAAATGCAGAGGTCTTTTTTCCTTGTCAAGCCTTATCTTTTGCTCCCAGTTACAGGCAGGCTACTCTTAGTGGTGCCCCAGTTTCCTTAAGAGGTGGTGAAAATTATCTGCAGGAGCTATTTTGTGTAATTAACTTTAACACTATCTGAGAGTGTGAATGCAGCCTTCATGGACACACAGCATGAATGGAGCAGAGTGTTTCAATGAACAGTTTGTGCTTTCAACTTTTAAAACTACCTCATACCAGATTTTTTTTTTCTTTCTGTTGCTTGTCTTCTCTCTGCTAGTTTTTTGAAGTGGGTTTTCACATGACCATTACGTAGATACTGATCTTAAGAAAAACACTTGCATGCAATTGAACACTCAAAATATAGCTGCAGCTTTTCAAAAACAGGCTTTCAAAAGTAAACGGTTTGAACCGGAACACAGAAAAACACTTTCAGATTTCAAAGTGCCTTTTTATCACAGTGATTACATCTTAAAATTGCATGTTATTTAAAGCGAAATATTAGACAATTAGCCTAATGCCAATGGATTTAGTTTAATTGAATAAGTGTCTACCTTTTCTGTAAAAGTCTGAGCTTTTCTTACAGTTGCTCTCTCATTCATATACTAGATAGAGTTTGGTACGACTGCATACAGGGAAAAGCATGGCCGGCCTCCCAAACTGACCAGACGTCCAAGGAGTGGATTGATCAGATGGTTAGCAAAGACTTGGCTGGTAACTCTGGATGAGCTGCAGAGACCCATATAATCTGATGGCATTAGCTTTAGTCTCTCTACAGCTAGTCTGTGTGGAAAAATAGCAAGAGGAAAACCATTGTTGATAGAAAGCAGTAAGAAGTTCTATTTACAGTTTTGAGTTTTCTTTACGTTGTTAATTACAAAATTCAACAAGCGTTTTTGCAGAGATGTGTGCACATCTCGCCATGGCTTTCAGTGCAGGTCCCATCACACTGACAATCAGGATGCAGCAGCATCCACCTTTACTGTTCATGGATCGGGACATCCAGACGTCACAAATAGATGTTTGATTTAAGATTCTCTGTGTTTTATAATGAAAGCCTAAATCATAATCAACCCAAAAAAATTAATGATAAAGTGTAGGACATAGAGGTCATAATAATAGCTAAATGTATCAGTCAGTATTAGTGATTATTCTTTTGTTTTATTTCTTTGAAATAAGGAGTAGTGAATAAAAAAGTGTAACCCTATTTAAACATAACATTTAGCCTTTAAAACAAGGTTAGCTGTACCAACATCCTTACTCAGATGGGCTGTGGGGGTTGAAGGACTACATATTTTCAAATTATTTCACTTCAATTTTTTTAAATTTTTTTTAGAGTTATTTTTAAAAGCCCATCTAGGGACAAGTGCTTCGAATTAGCTGTTGCTATTGCACTATGATGCAAACATGGGACTGCTGTTTCATTCAGTTTGTCTATGTAAATGTGTGTCTGTCCCTATCAAGTAAACTTTAATAAATAAATAAATATTTTCCTCTGCCTACATCCCCCAGAATGCCATGCACTTCAAATAATAAGATTATTTGAAGTGCATAAGATTATAAGATTTCAATGGAATTATAGAATATTATATTTGATGTCAGCAGTGATACATAGGTTATCATGTTATTCTTCTAATAGATTTTACTGTAGAAATAAAAGTATTCATGGCCAAAGATATGTTGGACTATTTATTTTGCTTCATTTGCAAGTGGCAAACTTCAAATTAAAGCAAAGATCACAATCCTGCTACAAAAGATCTTAAAGAAAGCAAAATCCTTTTCAAAATAGAAACAGTTTGGATGATCTTTGGTATAAATTGGTGAAATTTATAGCAGTGTAATTTTTCTAGATCATGTTTTTCATTTTCTTTACTTGCATACTTATCATTAACATTACTCGTATCTCTTATAGCTTACATCACAGGAACATTGTAAGTGCTTTTTGAGTTTAAGACACAAATGGTAGTAAAAGTGACCTCTCTTCTTTATTACTTTTTTCCCAAAGACATTCAGGCTTTGAACATACACCTGGATCCTTTCAGTTTTCCCACTTAACTCAAGCATTGTAAGGAACGCCACATGACAGCCAGTGATCTTTTTAGATCATTTCTCCAAACCTCATAACCATAAGGGTGTCTTGATAAGAGCCTGCTGATAGTTTCAACCTTTAAATCCTGTTCCTTTCTCTAGTTATATGTCTGTATTATAAATCCCCTCTCTGTCCCTGTCTGTCTGTCTCTCTGTCTGTCATCATCCACCTCTCCTAATCCTTGCATCATTCCAATTTTTCCTCTCCATCTGCTCCCTTCAGCTCCAGCTCCTGTATCTGCGTTTGATTGCATGTAATGGTGGTAGACTGAGAAAGCAAATTGGACCTATTCAGTATAGTTCAATCCAGGCTGAGCTGCTGATTTGTAATATTCATCTGAGGGCACCTTTGATTGGCCCAATGGTCAGGAGGGGATTCAGATTACTGGACCTTACTCCATTGTATTTAGTTTTCTTTCAGTAGATCTGTCAAAAACAGGTCTCTTCACTGGTTGTTGTTCTTCCATTGATGATATTTTCAGTTTTTGTCCAAATGGAAGGACTCAAAATCATACAAATACAAAATTAAAATAATAAAATAAAAAGATTTAATCCAGTAATTTGAAAAGAAATATTTAAAACCTTATGAATTGCTTTGATTTGCCTCACAGAAATAAATATTTATTGTGAAGCATTGTTTCAAAAGGAAAAATGTCAAAAGCAGCCTGGTCCTTTGTAGAGGAGCAATTACCCTACTTGCTATAAGCAAGAGTTCACCAGGATTAGACATATACATACAAAACTTCATCCACACACAGGCCTGTAGAGTCAATAAATCCATCATAGCAGATATAACTCAACAAGAAATAGGCTAAAACATTTTATAAAATTAGATGCATCTATATGAAGAAATCCAAATAGAGTTCAAAATGATGTTGTTCCAATCTCTTGGTCTCCAAAGGCTTACTAAACTATTTCTAAGGTCAGGGAGCTTAGTGGATCAAAGTAAACCATGTCTTCATTTGGCTCAGCTAAGATCAGCAGTAATGATTAAACAATATAACATCGATTTTGAACTGAGTCCCGATTATAAACTTACTACTAACCAAAACAATACGAAGGGCTGTCTTATATTTGATCTGCAAAACAAAATCAATTATCCCCTTAATGACTTTTGGTAAAATATCCTGTTAAATGGCAAAACAAAAGTGGAATTTTAAGGAAGGCATGTATGGAGTTAAATCTGATATAAAGGGATTGCATATTGTAGAAAAACAAAATATCATGTTGATTAAACATGGCGTTGTTAATGTTATGTTCGTGGGCTAGTTCAGGACCAAACTGTTTGAATCATA